CAGATGTAAGGGTAGAATGATCACTTCAAGGCACAATTTTAACACCTATAAACTTAAACATAATATATCTAACACTCCATCGAACATTTCAATATTTTAAAATACTCGATGAAGATTATTCACAACTGGACCACCAAGGCTCATGAATCTGCACTGTTCATTCACACTCCCCATGTCCTCCCTCACAGATCACTCTCGCACTGGCTCTCCTGCTGGTCTTGTCCGCCGTCCTGTCGCCCAGCCAAGCCACGCCGGACGCCCTAGCAGACCCGAGTCCGTTCTTCTTTCTCAAAAAGAAGAAGTATGGCTATGGCAACTATGGCTATGGCGGTTATGGCCACGGTGGATATGGCGGTTATGGCCACGGCGGATATGGCGGTTATGGCCATGGCGGATATGGCGGTTATGGCCATGGCGGTTATGGCGGTTATGGCCATGGCGGACATGGCGGTTATGGCAGTTACTGGTGAAGGAAGAGACAGGCAGACTCCCCAAGCAAGATGTTGAAGAGCTAAGATTTTCACTCGCTCAACGCAGTTACAGTTATCTCGTCGAAAACTATTAAATGAAATGAACCAATGATTTTTTAGGAAATAAGAAAATAAAATATGTACCTAATAGGATTGTTCACTTTGACCTACTTTAATGTTACTATATTATATAATTCATACACTCTCCCATCAACATCAACAAATGAATCACTAAGCATATACATATATGTATATATATATGTATATATATATATATATTTCTTCATCGAGCAGTTTTCACGACTATTCCGGAGAGACAGAGGACCAAGGTCGCGAACTCTGCTATATAAAGTCCGCCCCAAGTTGAACCTGGGCATCAGTCGAAACAACCTCTTCTCTAGAGCAACGAAGTCTCAACACTCATCATGAAGTTGGTACGTGTTAAGTTTTTATAGGTTTTGTTAGGTTAGGTTAGGTTAGGTTAAACTTGTTGAAATATCAATTTTACAGAGTAGGTTGATTATTTCTGTTTTTGTTGTTGTTGTTGTAGATGTACAAGTATGTAGTTTGTGCAAGAATCATTTATCTGAGTTCTGAAAGTTCTGAAACTGTCGATATGATCAGGTTCGTGAAATAAATTCGTAAATCCATCAATTTGTCACCTGTGTATTACCGTGCAGCTAAAAGTTAGTAGAAAAAGATTATTGTCCTTTATAGGCAAACTTGATAGTTCTTATGATCTATTGTTTTGCGCTACAGATGTAAGGGTAGAATGATCACTTCAAGGCACAATTTTAACACCTATAAACTTAAACATAATATATCTAACACTCCATCGAACATTTCAATATTTTAAAATACTCGATGAAGATTATTCACAACTGGACCACCAAGGCTCATGAATCTGCACTGTTCATTCACACTCCCCATGTCCTCCCTCACAGATCACTCTCGCACTGGCTCTCCTGCTGGTCTTGTCCGCCGTCCTGTCGCCCAGCCAAGCCACGCCGGACGCCCTAGCAGACCCGAGTCCGTTCTTCTTTCTCAAAAAGAAGAAGTATGGCTATGGCAACTATGGCTATGGCGGTTATGGCCACGGTGGATATGGCGGTTATGGCCACGGCGGATATGGCGGTTATGGCCATGGCGGATATGGCGGTTATGGCCATGGCGGTTATGGCGGTTATGGCCATGGCGGACATGGCGGTTATGGCAGTTACTGGTGAAGGAAGAGACAGGCAGACTCCCCAAGCAAGATGTTGAAGAGCTAAGATTTTCACTCGCTCAACGCAATATAGTTATCTCGTCGAAAACTATTAAATGAAATGAACCAATATTTTTTTAGGAAATAAGAAAATTAAATATGTACCTAATATAATTGTTCACTTTGACCTACCTTAATGTTACTATATTATATAATTCATACACTCTCCCATCAACAAATGAATCACTAAGCATATACATATATGTATATATATATGTATGTATATATATATATTATGTGCGTGTGAACATGTATAGTATTTATTTATCTATATATACATATTATACATATATATAACTAAATACATATATATACGCATATATATGCCTCACCGCCGCCAAGTCTGGTTGCGACAGGGCGTGGCGCTGGGAAGGGACGGAGGTGCCCAACTGGGGAAGGTGGAACGGAGTTGGGGAGATGGTGGGAGGGAGGGAGGGAGGTGGCGGTAGAGCGAGGTGTGAAGAGGTAGGAGTGAGTGAGGGAAGGAGGTTGAGAGTGTGGAAGGTAGAGATAGAGAAGGAGAGGAGTAAGCGAAAGTTGGAATGGATACACCATAATTAAACACTCTTAAACGAATAATTCACTTATAATACAATAGTCTAAACCATCAGTTTATTTTTTATTACCAATTTAATTTTAATCGGACATCAAGGACACGGCTATCCTCATCCATTTAGCGCAACGTCTTTCAAAATAATGATAAACTACATACAAACTAATTCATATCTAAATGATAAAACTAACAATGATAATTCATAGATCATTAACATCATTGATTCATTCAGTAAATGATAGACTTGAGCCTCCCATCCACAACTAAATAACTATAATCATTCCTTAACTGCCTTGAACATGTGACGACCATGTTTTTTATCCCCCGCACTTGGAACGAGAGAATCCACATCTGTTTGTTGTTAGAAGCGATTTTGACTCATCCAACGGGCGGCAATTTGCACATGAGAAAATCATGATCGCACACGGAATCGTGTTGATCGAAAGTGTAAACAAACGGCGTAAAAAGAAGAAAGGAAAAAGGAAAAGGAAGGAGAGGAAGAAAGAGGACGAGGCTACGAGAACTTGTACAGGTATTTCCCGTTACGTGTTTTATGCTTATGGGGGGGGTGGGGACCAAGCCTCTGAACCTGTATATAAAGAGCTTACCAAGAAATCAAATTGTTTTCTTGTATATGAGATATATTCATACGAAAATGTTATTTGTCTCTTGTTTCCTCTCTTTGATTTTATGAGATCACCACTGAAACATTTTTTACCTTTATTTTCTCTATGTTTGTCATATATGAATGTGTGTTTATATAATTTGTATCTCTATCCATTTATATATATACACATATGTATACATATATGTGTATATATAGTTTTTAACATATATATATTATATATAAATGTATATACATGTGTATATACATACTGTACATACATAAATATATATATGCATACATATGTACGCTTATGCATACACACATATTCATATATATGTATGTATGTATGTGTGAGTATATTTATGCATATATAAATATGCAAACATATATTCATACACGTATATATACATAAATGAATACATTTACATATAGATAAATATATTACATATATACGTATACATGTATATAACATACGTATAAATATATATTCATATATACATAGATATTGTATATATAAACTGTATATATATTGTGTTTATACATATACATATAAATATATAAATTTACTTTTACATACATACACATTTTATACATACATAAGCATATATATTCTTATATATTTTATCTGTATATTTATATACATTATATCTATGTATTTATATATATCATAACTATATATGTGCACATATATACATACACATACATGTCCATATATATATATACATATATAAATATATATGCATATATATATGAACATATACATATAGTCAACTACTTGATGTCAACATGGCGCCAAGTAGTTAGTCAAACAGCGCATCGGTGATAGCACGAATACATATATGTATAAATATATGTATATATATATGTTTGCATGTATGCATGCATGTTTATATATGTCTGTATATATATAAAAGCACTCACACATACATATATATGTATATGTACGTACAACCACACATACACGCACGCATACATACAAGCATGTAAGTGTGGAATTCATGTCGCTTCGTTGTTCTTTTCAGGAGGCATTTTCTTCCTAGTTTCATCCTCGAGCAGCCTTCAGGACTTTTCCGGAGAGACAGAGGACCAAGGTCGCGAAATCTGCTATATAAAGTCCGCTCCAAGTTGAACCTGGGCATCAGTTGAAACAACCTCTTCTCTAGAGCAACGAAGTCTCAACACCCATCATGAAGTTGGTATGTAGTTTGTGCAAGAATCATTAACTGAGCAAAGTTCTGAAACTGTCAATATAGTCAGGTTCGTGAAATGATTTTTGAAATCTATCAATTTGTCACCTAGTGTTACTGTGCAGCTAACACTTACTAAAGCAAAACTAATGCATGAATCTGCACTTTTCATTCACGCTCCCCATGTCCTCCCTCACAGATCACTCTCGCACTGGCTCTCCTGCTGGTCTTGTCCGCCGTCCTGTCGCCCAGCCAAGCCACGCCGGACGCCCTAGCAGACCCGAGTCCGTTCTTCTTTCTCAAAAAGAAGAAGTATGGCTATGGCGGCTATGGCGGTTATGGCTACGGCGGTTATGGCCACGGTGGATATGGCGGTTATGGCCATGGCGGTTATGGCCACGGCGGATATGGCGGTTATGGCCATGGCGGTTATGGCCACGGTGGACATGGCGGTTACGGCAGTTACTGGTGAAGAAAGAGATAGGCAGACTCCCCAAGCAAGATATGGAAGAGTTAAGATTTTTACACGCTCTACGGGAAACAATTATCTCGTCGATAACTATCAAATGAAATGAACTAATTAATTTTTTAGGAAATAAGAAAATAAAATATGTACCTGATAGAATTGTTCACTTTGACCTACCTTAAAGTTACTATATTATATAATTCATACTCCATCAAATTCAACAAATGAGTCATTATGAAGATACATATATAGGAATATATACATATATATATATTGTGTGTGTATGCATAGTATTTGTCTATCTATCCATAAATATACATATACATATATATACATATATATATGCCTTACCGCCGCCAAGTCTGGCTGCGACAGGGCGGGGCGCTGGGAAGGGAGGGAGGAGCCCGCGTGGGGAAGGTGGAACTGTGGGGAGATGGAGGGAAGGGTGGAGGGTGATGGGAGGGAGGGAGGGGTGGAGGGTGGTGGGAGGGACGGAGGGAATTGGTGGTTGTAAGGGAGGAGTGGAGAGGTGGAAGGGAGGGAAGGAGGTGGCGCTTGAGCGAGAGGTGAAGAGGTGAGAAGGAGAGATGGATGGGGAGAGAGTAGAAGGAGAGGAGTAGGCGAAAGTTGGAATGGATACACCGTAATTAAATACTCTTAAAAGAATAATTCACTTAGAATACATTAGTTCGAACCAACAGTCTTTTAATTATTATTACAAATTTGATTTTAATCGAACCTCAAGGAAACGGTTATCCTCATCCATTTATTCCAATGTTTTCCAAAACAATGATAAACCACATACAAAATAATTCATACCTAGATGATAAAACTAACAATGATAATTCATAGATCATTAACATCATTGATTCATTCAGTAAATGATAGACTTGAGCCTCCCATCCACAACTAAATAACTATACTCATTCCTTAACTGCCTTGAACATGTGACGACCATGTTTTTATCCCCCGCACATGGAACGTGAGTGAGAGAGAATCCACATCTGTTTGTTGTTAAAAGCGATTCCGACTTATCCAACGGACGGCAATGATCGAAGTGTAAACAAACGGGGTAAAAAGAAGAAAGGAAAAAGGAGAAGGAAGGAGAGGAAGAAAGAGGACGAGGCTACAAGAACTTGTACAGGTATTTCCCGTCACCTGTTTTATTCTTATTGGGGGGAAAACCAAGCCTCTGAAACTGTATATAAAAACTTTACCAAGAAATCGAATTGTTTTCTTATATATGAGGTATATTCTTACGAAAACGTTAGTCATACAATATATAACAACTTGGCTTGTAGATACTTTAGTTTATCTCTTTCTTCTCAGCCTTTGATTTTAAGAGGGATCGCCAGTGAAACCTTTTTTTACCTCTATTTTCTATATGTTTGTCATACATGAATGTGTTTATATAATTTGTATCTTTCTATCGATCTATGTATATACATATACATGTATACATATATGTGTATATACATTTTTTGATATATATTATATATATGAATATATATATATACATGTGTGTGCATATATTGTACATATATATGCATAGATATATATACATATACATACTTGTTTTTATATATATATATATATTAAATATACATAGATATTGTATATATAAACTTTATATTTATATGTGTTTATACATATATATAAACACACACATACATATGTATAAATATACATATACATTTTATACATATATGTATTATATAGACATATATGTATATTTTTATATATTTTTATATATATTTATATATATTGTATCTATATATGTGCACATATGTATACATACACATATATATCCATATTTATATATATATATATATATATATATATGCATATATTTATATGTAAGCATCGGTGATAGCACGAAGACATATATGTAAAAATATATGTTTGTATGTATGTATGCATGTATATATATGTCTGTATACATATATAGGCGCTCACACATACATACATATATATGTATATATATATACGTAAGTTCAAGTACAAGCACACATACACGCACGCATACATACAAGCATGTAAGTATATGCAACAAGAGTACGTATTCAACGATGACTCACAACCTGCTTCCGCATCGTTCAACTTTCAACCGGAACCTTTGGACACATCTTTGTAGGGGACATTTTCTTCCTTGTTTCTTCATCCTCGAGCAGTTTTCAAGACTATCCCGGAGAGACAGAGGACCAAGGTCGCGAACTCTGCTATATAAACTCCGCCCCAAGTTGAACCTGGGCATCAGTCGAAACAACCTCTTCTCTAGAGCAACGAAGTCTCAACACTCATCATGAAGTTGGTACGTGTTAAGTTTTCATAGGTTCTAGGTTTGTTTGTTCAAGTATCATTTTTTTCTGAGTAGGTTGATTATTGCTGCTGTTGTAGATCGATGTACAAGTATGTTTGTAGTCTGTGCAAGAATCATTAACTGAGCAATTTCTGAAATCCATCAATTTGTCACCTAGTGTTACTGTTCTGCTAAAAGTTACTAGAGCAAAACTTTCCATTCACACTCCCCATGTCCTCCCTCAGATCAGTCTCGCACTGGCTCTCCTGCTGGTCTTGTCCGCCGTCCTGTCGCCCAGCCAAGCCACGCCGGACGCCCTAGCAGACCCAAGTCCGTTCTTCTTTCTCAAAAAGAAGAAGTATGGCTATGGTGGCTACGGTTATGGCGGTTATGGCCACGGTGGATATGGCGGTTATGGCCACGGTGGATATGGCGGTTATGGCCACGGTGGATATGGCGGTTATGGCCACGGTGGACATGGCGGTTATGGCGGTTACGGCGGTTACGGCATAAGGAAATACTGGTGATGGAAGAGACAGGCAGTCTCTTCAAGCACAATGTTGAAGAGCTAAGATTTATCTTGCTCCACGCAATATATTTATCCCGTCGAAAACTATTAAATAAAATTAACTAATGATTTTTTTAGGAAAAAAAATAAAATATGTACCTATAGAATTGTTCACTTTGACCTACCTAAAAGCTAATATAAATCATATTCACTTAATATGATTAATATAATTCATACTCTATGAATCATTAGAAAATAAGATAACAGTTTCATCAGGAAAATTTGCGTGCTTTGACAGGCTTAACCTTAGATGTATCCGGACCGTATGCTTGTATGCGGATGCTTGTTTGCTTATCTATTTGCTTGTCTGTGTGTGTGTAGATGGCTAGATATATACAGTATACATATTATCTTTCATATGCACGCATAGAGAAGTACAAACATATAGAAAATAAAGGTAAAAAAGGTTTCACAAATAATCTTTCATAAAATCATAGGCAGAGAGGAAGAGACAAATAAATATATCTACAAACTAATTGTTATATATTGTATGTCTAACATTTTCGTATGAATATATCTCATATATAAGAAAACAATCCGATTTCTTGGTAAACTCTTTATATACAGTTTCAGATGTTTGATTATTTTTCAATAAGCATAAAACACGTAACGGAAAATACCTGTATAAGTTCTCGTAGCCTCGTCCTCTTTCTTCATCTCCTTCCTTTTCCTTTTTCCTTTCTTCTCTTTAGCCCGTTTGTTTACACTTAGAGCATTACTATTCCGTGTGCGATCTTGATTTTCTCATGTGCAAATTGCCGCCCGTTGGATAAGTCGAAATCGCTTCTAACAACAAACAGATGTGGATTATCTCTCACTCGCGTTCCAAATGCGGGGGATAAAAACATGGTCGTCACATGTGCAAGGCAGTTAAGGAATGATTATAGTTATTTAGTTGTGGATGGGAGGCTCAAGTCTATCATTTACTGAATGAATCAATGATGTTACTGTTAATGATCTATGAATTATCATTGTTTTATCATCTAGGTATGAATTATTTTGTATGTGGTTTATCATTGTTTTGGAAAACATTGCGCTAAATGGATGAGGATAACCGTTTCCTTGATGTTCGATTAAAATCAAATTGGTAATAATAAAAAATAAGCTGATGGTTCGAACTATTGTATTCTAAGTGAATCATTCGTTTAAGAGTGTTTAATTATGGTGTATCCATTCCAACTTTCTCCTGCTTTTCTCTCTCTCTCTCTCTCTCTCTCTCTCTCTCTCTCTCTCTCTCTCTCTCTCTCTTTCTCTCTCTCTCTCTCTCTTTCATTCTAATTCTAATTCTCCTCCCCCTCCTTCTCCTTCTTCTCCTTCTCTATCTCTCCTTCTCCTCATCCTTCTCTCTCTCTCTCTCTCTCTCTCTCTCTCTCTCTCTCTCTCTCTCTCTCTCTCTCTCTCTCTCTCATTCTATTTCTAATTCTAATTTCCTCCCCCTCCTTCCCCTTCTTCTCTATCCCTCCTTCTCCTCCTCTCTCTCTCCTCCTCTTTCTCACTCTCTCCCACCCACACTCTACCATCCCTCCCTCCCTCCCACCTCTCTACTCCTCCCTTCCTCCCTCCCACCACCTCCCTCCCTCCCTCTCACCTCTCCACCCCTCCCACCACCTCCCTCCCTCCGTCCCACCTTCCCCACGCGGGCTCCTCCCTCCCTTCTCAGCGCCCCGCCCTGTCGCAACCAGACTTGGCGGCGGTGAGGCAACAGCACAAACACGGAGCGAGGTCAGTGTACACAGTGCCCGGGCGGAGAGGCACGACTGACGCGCGGTTTCATGGGTAGGGAAGTGGTGCCTGCAACTACTACGCACTCTCGAATGTTGTGCAAAGAGAGACAGAAGGGGGAGAAGAGAGGGGAAAGGGGGAAGATGGAGATGCAGAAGAGGGGTAAATAGAGTGAGAAGGAAGAGGAGGCGATGTCGGAGGAGAGGGAGGGAGAGAGGGAGGGAGGGAGGGAAGGAGGGAGGGAGAGAGGGAGAAAGGGAGAGAGGGAGAGAGAGAGGGGGGGGGGGCAGAAAAAGAAAGACAGAAGAGAAAGGAGCCAGAGATGGAAACAGACAGACAGCCAGACAAATAGCCTGACAGATAGACAAACAGGCAGACAGACTGAGAGGCAAACAGTCATAGAGCGAAACAGACAGTTAGGAAGGAAGGAGGGGAGAGAGGGAGGGAAGGAAGGAGAGAGAGAGGGGGGGGAGAGAACAAGTTGGGGGAGGGAGAGTGAAAGAGAGGGAGAGGGAGGAGACAGAGAAAAAGAGAGAGATAGAGAACAAGCGAGCGTGAGACAGATAGACAGACAGAAAAAGGAACACACACACACACACAGAGAGAGAGAGAGAGAGAGAGAGAGAGAAAAGGGAGAAAGAAAGAGAGACCAGAAATCACGGAGACTGGACTGCCTCAACAATACTATTTCTCCACAGCTTCGCACATTATCAAGGTGGAACGAATTGAAATAAATGACCAGGAAGTTTCTGACACGTTGAGAAAACTTACTGAAGTGTTTTACTTGTGGTCGGATTGTAAACACCGCTTTGCACAGTCCTGTATTGCATTATGTTTCATTGTATTATAGATCTTTTGCTGTATATTGCAATGTGCTGTTTGTGCTAATATTGTTCAGTTGTATGTATTAAAGCGTGGAACGTATGGTTCATTGTTATAATAAATGGATAGTATTTGATATGGATGATTTGTTTGTAATAAGGGAATATGGTATCATTATCATTTTGCTGTTTTTTGCACTGCGTGTTTGTACGCATAATGATCCGTCTCCCTCTGCTTGTTTACATTATTTTACTCTTTTCTTCTTCTTTTTTCCTCCCATTCTTCTTCCTTTTCTTTCTCTTTCTTCTTTTTTTCATTTCCATTCTCGTTCTTATCATTGTTATTAATATTCTTCTTATTTATCATCACCATCATCATCACCAACCCTCTTTACTTTCAACTCCGTTATAAAGCTTTTATTCCCTTCCGTCCTCAACAGAATGTGCCTTAAGTATCAAAGAACTTTCAGATATCCTTCTACTGCCACCACCTGTTACGTATGATCACCAATCATTCACTTTATAATCCCCCTTCTGGCAATTAGCTAATACGGTCGGCGTTCCTCTGGTCCCCCTTTCCTTCACTCCATCCTGCCTGCTTCTAATCCTGTGTTACGCCCGAGTCTCCTTTTTCATTTGCGGATTAAAGCAGCAGCGCCCCTTTTCGGTTTTCCTTCACGGCCAAGCTGGATATTAATTTTAACGTCTGCTGTGGACGACCTTCTCCAGAGACGAATAGATAGATAGGTAGGTAGATTAGATATACGGATAGATAGGTAAGTAGATAGATTAAATAGGTAGATAGATAAATTAAATAGATAGATATAGGGATGGATAGATATATTCTCCAAAGACGAATATACAGATAGATAGATTAAATAGAAAGATAAATCAGTTACATAGATAGATATATGGATGAATATATATACATATATATATGTATGTATTATATAAAGACGAATAGATAGATAAATAGATTAAATAGATAGATAGATAGATAGATAGATTAAATAGATAGATAGATAAATCAATAATCATCATCGTAGTCAACCTGTATTACTCTCACGACAATAGCCTTCCTCAAATTTTGAAACGACGACCTCACCTTCACCTCCTTACGTAATATGAGATGATTTAGAAATGCCCTTTTTGCCTCAATGGAAGCCAGACGTCAACCTCGGGGACTCGAGGGTAGGATTTTCGTAGGTATTGCGCATAGTGTGTTTATAGATATATGTGTAAGTAATACATATATGAAACATACATAAATATATACATGTATACACATATATACACATACACACATAAAGATATATATATATATATATATATATATATATATATATATATATATATATATATATATACATATACATATACATATACATATATATATATATATATATATATATATATATATATATATATATATATATATATATATATATGTATATATATATATACATATATATATATGTATATATATATACATATATATATACATATATATATATATATATATATATATATATATATATATATATATATATACATATATACATACATATACACACATATATATATATATACCATTCGCACCGGGTGTCACGTATACGTGACGTGCCCACTGTGAGTTTACTTGTTTAATTGTTTTAAAATATATATGGCTACACTTGTACTTGTATTGCCTGTCTCGCCTGTTTACCTTTTTCTTTAATTTACGAAAATATTTTACGTTATCTTATTTTGTTGTTACTAAGGTTTATAACATTATAATGATTATAATGTTTATAATAAAAATAACCTTCGATATTCATAGCACTAGTAAAAATACATTTTCCCGCCAATGCAAGTAAAGGTGAAATCAGGTAAGGCATAGCCATCTATGTGTAGAGACATTTCATAAAAAAAATATAAAAAATCAGCACAGCATTTTCCCCATTTTTTGTTCATTTTTACCCGTCGCGAATGGGATATATATATTATATGCATATATATATAAATATATATATATATATATATATATATATATATATATATATATATATATATATATATGCATACATATATGCATATATATATGCATACATATATGCATATATATATGCATATATATATATATATATATATATATATATATATATATATATATATATATATATATATATATATATATATATATATGCATATATATATATATATATATATATATATATATATATATATATATATATATATATATATATATATATATATATATATGCATATATATATATATATATATATATATATATATATATATATATATATATATATATATATATATATATATATATATATATATATATATATATATATATATATATATATATATATATGCATATATATATGCATATATATATGCATATATATATATATATATATATATATATATATATATATATATATATATATATATATATATATATATATATATATATATATATATATATATATATGCATATATATAATGCATATATGTAATGCATATATATATATATATA